ATAGCCCGTCAGCCCGCTGCAAAATAGCCGAATGATTTCTCCACGTACCTCTTCAATGTATCGTTAATTATGCGCATGCTGTGACCAATGAAGAAGTACAATCAGTCGGTAACAGTAGAACATGCACCGGTAAAGGTAATTGTTAATTGCAAAAAAATCGCGATTTACAATTATAGCTTTGTTCGGGGAGCCTGTCAAATTGGTTCGGAATCGGTCAGAGGCAGTCATCCGGCTGCTTTCTGTGCTATCTCCCACAAGCATAGCATAAAGGAAGTGGCTAGGCGATTGCTTCTGACTGGTCCCGAACTGGCTTCAGCGGCTCCGCGAACAAAGCTTATATTTACACGTATGCCGAGCATACTAAACGGTATTTTAGCAACAACAATTAATCGGAAAACCATCGACATACGGGCAGAGTGGAACCGAAGGGTCGGGTGACGCCCTTAAGAGTGTAAATAAATATTGCATCTGTAGATGATAGTTACATGTATTCGATATTCAATGGCTTTTGGCATAAAGTGTACAATTTCCAAAGGGCATACGGTTTCCGAAGGTCTAATTAAGTTCACACCTGTATGATTGTATTGTATATTGCACGGGTTTGACAATGATAATGCCAAATTAAATTAAGATTGCAAAATGACTGTTTTATCATGAACTTTTGATTTCCTAAAGGGCATACGGTTATCGTGGAACCCATACTAAATAAAGGCTTTTAAATAGAGCAAATTTTTAGAATATGTTCCAACGCTAGCGCCACGTATGCCATTGTCATTCTATTTATTTATAGTTAGGTAAAATAGTAAAACTAAATTTAAAAAATCGTTAGGAATAGGCGATGATTTACAGAAAAAAATTCTCCTTTTCTTTTCATTGTGCAAAATGTACACAATAGGGTTGTTGACTATAAAAACAAACCATACAGAAATTGTTACTGATACAAAGATTTTATATAAAAGAACCTGCCTGTATAGTAAAATTTTAAATATATGACAAAATCATTTATGAATTTTTGGGTTACTTAAAAACTAGCCTGACGTCAGAAGGGGCAATTGAACAAGAAGCTAGTAGCGATCCTATTGCATAATTTTGAAGAAGAAAATATGTCAAAATTGTCCATCAAACACTGTTGCCCGGTTTCCTGTTTTTTAAACAAAAGTGACACTAGTGACAGCAGTCTGTCAATTAAGAATATTTGTGATAGTTATTATTAATTACCTGATTGTAATGGATTCAACAAAATTTATGTGGTATTTTGTTCCACATTCCACATTCCTCATAGCCAACTGCATTATCTCCATAAGACTCCCGAACTGCACTATAATTTTCCATAAATAAATGGGTATTTTATATAAATAAACACAATAAAATCATTCATTAAATATGTTGATCCTTACCTGACTCCTTTTATACCTCTGATTTCGCCAATATTAAAACGGTCGTGTCTTTTTAAAAATTCAATTCATGATCATAAAAATATCAATTTTTGGTAAAATTTACGAAGTAGCTTTCACAAATTCCCTTTCACACATTCTGCTTTAATTCAAAGGGAAGATATTAAATGATTATTACTAAATAATAATTTTACTTGATAAAGGAATTCGAAGATTAAGGAAAATAACTCGTAGACTTGAAAATATTTATGCGACAGTGTCACTGACAGACTGACAGACACTACTGACAGTGTTGACAGAGCTTCTTCTTCTTCCAATTTTTTTCCTTTACGCAATCATTTACACATAATTTCACTGTAAGGAGCCCCTTATGACGTTACAGCCGTTTTGAAGTATTATAAAAAAATAAGTTTTAAATAATTATTTTAAAACTGTTCTGACGCATTCCTCAATCTCTAATTGTGTATACACACTAGTTAGTAGGTACATGTAGAATTATATTATCTACTTTTTGAAATTTGGTCAACAACCCTATTGGAGTAAAACATTTAAAAAAGTGCCGCGCTACAAATTTTATTCCGATATTGAAATTTCCATAAAATGTTAATTTTTTTGATAAAGTATGAGATTTTTAACAAATTTAATAGCCAACAAGCAAATATCAACATTTGTAAACAAGACAGATAGGTACTAATGCTGACTCGAAACGTCACTAAATAGTAAAACACAACTATAGACTCGAAAAAATGTGGAATCCAATGGCATAAAAATATTAATAAGTTTTTATTTAAAAAATTGAGACAGATGATGGTCGCTAAAAAATAGAGAAGAAAAATGAAAAGAATGGATTTTCTCTTCGGTGTAAAACTTCAAATAAACTCAGATACATAATTGAAAATTTAAATTTTTTTTAACCAAATTGATATTTTCGTTTTGTCTCTGTGCAGTTATTGCTCACTAATTTACATAAGTTTGCCTCAATTTAATTATCTATCATTCCTCATTACATGGTTTTCGAGATAGCAATGTCATCTCATTGATACACCATGTATGTATTTAAAAGGATTAGGAGCATAATTCTTTAGCAGATAGAGAAAAATGAGTATAATACGAAGGCGTGATTAAAAAAAAAATTAAATGCATATTTAAGCTGAAAAAATTTTTTTTCAAATCATTATTTAACCCCCTTTTCAGGCTGTTACTGACCGGCTGACGTCAGCCGGCTACGATATGAACAAAGCGACCTAGATGCAATGTTGCCATATTTATATATTTTCGCACATATAAAGACAATAAATAAACGGTTTGCTCACGTCAGCCAATAATAATTTAAAATGCTATAAATTATTTTTTATAATTATGCAATCAACATATTAAATTGTTATTGTTGCCCAGCAAGAACCTCGAGGAGGTCTGAGCATGCCTTGCCAAAAATCAGTTTTTATTAACATCATAATGTTAATTTTTTAATTTGCTGTAAGCCTTCGGGCTTACAGCAAATGTTCAAATACATTACCGTTACCGTCTATGCACAAGTGTACACGTTGGATAGATGAGCGGCGGATGCGATGGAATAAACCAGGGTTGTTACGTATTTCTTCAGCGGCATCTTCGATACGATTCCGCAACTGCTCTACATTCTCTACCTCGGTGTGATACACGACAGATTTCATATAACCCCATATACAAAAGTCCATAGGATTATGGGCCCTCATCTCCCTATCCACCGATTGGGACATTGATCGTCTAAAAATCCACGGACATCGCGAGCAAAATGGGCCGGATCTCCGTCGTGCATATACCACATATCCCGTAGCATCTGAAGGGGAAGGTTTTCAAACAATTCTACTAAAAATTGAAAGTAACGCGGCCCATTCCGATGTTCAGGTAGAAAATGCGGCCCATTAAACGATCGCCATATACTCCTGCCCATAATACATCGACACCGAATCTCCTATGAAAGCTAAACCGACGAGTAGTGTGCGGGTTTTCATCTGACCAAATGTGACTATTATGGCTGCAAAGAAATTAGCTCTGTCTCACTTTAAATAAAATTTAATATTGAAGTTACAAAACTCCAAGAGTTCAAGTAATTTAAATTTCATTTCACAACCATTTCAATTTCATTACAAAAATAATGATATAAAAAACCAACACTCACTAGATAAATTATAAAGAGAGGGTGAAATGTATGTAGTATTTAAATACTGACTGTTATAGAAGATAAAAAAACAATAGGACGGAGACAAGTAAACAACTCGGTACGTGATTCCGACCTAGATTAACCTGTATCTAGGTCAACCACGATCCTTTTTTACGGACCGTGTAGGTCAATGACCCACTTTTTAATTTGCACGTGTACAAATAGTCCAGGAGCCAGATAGAGTGCCGTGGCAAACAGAGTCACACGGCTGCAAACAATGTAATGAATACGGATGATTGTTTTCCAATGTACGGTTATTACAATTTATCATTTTTAATATTATTAACGTTTTCACGTTTTATAATTTATTATGTTAAATAATACACAGTTTTAGTATTTCAATTTATTATTCAATATGCAGTTGCGTATAACCAAAGTTTACATAATAAATGTAAACTTTAGTGTAAATCTAAACTTTGGTGTAACCTAGGTAGGCACTTATTGTTTTTGAGAAAGCAATACTTATGTTTTTTACCTGTTTAAAATGCCAGCACGAGTAAAACAGCATTCATCCGTCCAGAGCACTTTGTTAATAAAGTTCTGCTGCACTTAGGAACCAATTGCAAAATTCAAGACGATTGGGGAAATCAGCTGCTTCTAAAGCTTGAACTTTTTGAAAATGTGTTATGTTAACTCCTTTGCGGGAAAAATGCGGGAGATATGGAGGGTGGTAGATTTGAATAAACGCTTTAAATTGTTAGGTAATGGTTTTGTAACCGTGTGTAGTGTATTTTGTATATTCGGGTATTTAGTGTGCCGACCTTTTTTATTTGATAAAATACAGTGTGCCTACAAACCTCTGCTTTATTTATTTTCTTTTAACGAAAGTTGACTTCGAGAAGTCAGGCTTGTTAAAACATTTTGCACTAAATTATTAAAATTAGTTATAATAAAATGCAGCATGATCCTTTATTTACTTGCATTTTATTGGTTTCATACATATGTATCCGTATACTAACGCGGATGAATTAAATGTGAACACAGATTATGATATGAACTTGGCAACGCTGTTCGCTTCAGCTGACGATTTGTTCGTGACATTACGTTACAAAATTTTCGGAGCATCCGGGCATCTGGCAAGGCCGCCTTCTTAGCGGGAGTTATGGGTTGATTTCCTTCATTTTTAAAAGTCGGGTAAAATTTTTTTTTCCGATTTTCTGTCTTTATTAAGTCTTCCGAATATGTGATTAAAATTAATTACTATGACTGAATCACCCTGTATAAAAAGTAGACTACTACACGAAATATAGGAACATAAGCGAAAGTCAGTTGTAAAATAATTAATAAAAGCAATATTATTATTGAAGTTTCGAGTGAAACTGAGAAAACAGAAAGCGACTCGATAATGAAATTTAATTTATGGCTCTATTGTTCATTAGTCAATTTTCTCCATTACATTTTAGGGCCAATCTATGGAAACGAGATTTTAGAGGAACTGTCAGACAATCATCTACTAATTTTCGATCTTCCAACAACGAACGATGACGAGAAGTTTATAAGAGCAGAATTAAAAATTCTCACTCTGTTAGATGTTAACACTGATGACGAAAAAGGTACGTTTACTGAGAAGAAAATAATATTTCAAAAGTATTTCAAATTGGATTGAATAACATTGCTAGCTCAGAAACAAATACTTAGGAGCCATGTTTATATTGCAAGTTCAACGTAATGACAAATATCACTGTTTCCATTTTACTTGATTTCTATTTCTCCATACGAATATGACAGCTCTTCCATTAAGAGGTTTCATTTTAAATTGCATACCATTATTTGTTTGTGACAAATGTAACTGCCATATTTTGCAGCTGTTAGTTATAAACAACGCGATTGGATCAATATTCCTTTCAGCAACGCTTAGAAGTAATAAAAGTTGATTACAATAATTATGGCGAAAATTTCACGGAGACAGTTCGAAAAATCCAAGTTTGGTCGCAGAAATGCATCTGCATATAGCAATTGTAAATTAAGTTGCTAAATATGAACGTATAGATTACTGATGTTAAGAACCCAACTCGCGCTCGGTTCGTCAGCTTAAATGAAAAAAAATCCTGTTTTGTCTACTACAAAACGTTCACAGTATTTCACAAGTCAGCATGCAAGACATTTTGTATAAAGATCTAGGCTTGCATTCTTACAATGTCCAATTAACGCAAAATTTCAGGTCGACGGACCATGCAATACGTCTGTTTGCTGAGGGAACGTTAGAAATGTATTTTTAGCTGTGGGGGCCATTTCCACTTACAAGTTACATCAATAACCAAATTTATCCTACCTGGGGCTCTAAAATCCAAAAGTGATAGTTAGACATCCTCTCCATCCACAAGAACTGACTGACTGTTTGGGTACGGTTTCTAGAGCCGCGGTTTATGGGGCCGTATTCTACCGAAAATGAAGCTACAGTCAATGAATTGCGGTACCGAAATATGCTGACTGACTTTTTGGGTCTTCGATTGAAAAACTGAATACGGAAGACGTTTATTTTCAGCATAACATGCCTACGAGCCATACAAGCTGTGAAACGATAGCCTCACTGCGCGAGCAGTTTCCAAGATGTGCAATTTCGCGTCATGGAGACATCAATTCGCCGCCTAGATCATGTGAAGTGACATCGCCGGATTTCTTTCTCTGGGATAAGGTGTATGCTTCAGAAACGATTGAAGCGCTCAGACGATATCTGAACTGTAATTAGCGAAATAGGTCCGTAATTATGCGAAAAAATTATGTTAAATTTCCTAAAAAGAATTAGAATTTCCATTAAAAGCAGAGCCGACCATTTGGAAGATATTATCGTCCATCTTTAACCGCATGATCGTACTTCGTGTTGAATGAATAAAAATATTACTATTAGAAATAAAAATTACTTACTTTCCTATACAGTTAATATGAAACCTCTTAGAGAAAAATCCATTACTGTACTATCAAATTTTCAGTGCGGCGTACCTCTGTCTCTGATAGGCGAAATAGCAATTTTATAACATACAATTTGAAATATTTTTTATGCTGTCTGTGATATGAAAACTGAGATCCAAAAATTTTAAAATTGTTATGTTTTCATTGTTTAGGTGTAAGAAAGATACTGAAAGTATCAGTTTATGACGATCAAATTAAAAAATTATTTCACCACCAAGAAACTCAGATTCATCACGTAAACAACACATGGGTGTCGTTTGATGTCACAGCCCCCGTAAATAAAATTTATCAAACCAATTCCAAAAGCAAAGTCTTGAAAATAGTAATTTCGATATGTGCGTTCTTTCCGAGTATTACAAAAAATTTAAAACTCTCTCTCATGCCGATACAAGAGGATTTCGAGCACGACTATCCTGTTCTGTTACTCTCCTATTCTTCCATGAAAGAAGGTACTGATAGTAACAAGAAATTGTTAAACATTAAGAAAAACAGGAAGAAGAGAAGTTTGGAAGACGATTATGAAGAGGAAACTAATAGATTATGGGACGACGAATTTTCTAATAAAAGGGTGCCTGTAAAAAAGGTTAGGAAAAGTAGGAATACTTGTAGAAGGAAACCTTTGTATATAGACTTTTCTGAGATAAATTACGATGTCTGGATTGTCCAGCCCAGTGGTTATGATGTAAGTATGCATATACCAAGGTATAGCCCAAAAATGTAAACGATATTTGGTTAGAAATACTCATGTATCATAAAGAAATTTAAATTGCAATATAAAAATTTATATATGGAGATTTATAGTTATCTCTATCTCAATTAACATTTACTACCATACTCTAAATAAACACCTTAGTACATATTTTTTCATAAATTTTTTGTTATAGTAGATGAACTCTTAAATTTTGTCACGAAAAAAGATCAAAAAATGCTCACAGTTTGTACTTAACAGGCTCAAAAATTATATACCAAATATTCAATTTTTCCGTTATTATAAAAGGACGGACCTGTATTTTTATAGAATGTTATATAAAATTAAACCTTATTTTGATTAATATAGATACTGAACACAGCAAAAATGATTTAGGAATTTGGGTTACAAATTTGTACAATTTTGTTACCAATGTAATGTTATTAATTTAATTAACTGAAAAATTGGTTTTATTTAGTTTCGTTTTACATAAATCAGTGAAATCATATAAAACATATAAATTAGGGTGAAAATTTTCAAAATCATGCCTTCTGTGGTGTTAAGAGGGTTCTATAGCAAATAGGCAACTAGTAATACATTTTTGTAGATTTTATTACACAATTTGTCTAAATATGTATTAATGCACAAATAACGCAGATTTTCTATAAAATGAACTTAGTTTGAAACTCAAACTACTTTTTGTTGTAAAGAAATTTGTAATTTGCCGCTTTTGAACAAGCGGCATTGTGATCATGCGCCCATTAAGCAAAGACCAAGAATTCCATTGGACAAACAAGAGGAAGTGGACGATTTTCTAAAGAACATGGAACATCAAGGTATAATCGAACCATCGAATAGCCCATGGAGTTCATCAGTAGTGTTAGTAACCAAGAAAGATGGTTCTAACAGATTTTGTGTTGACTTCATAAATGTAAATGACATAACAAAGAGACAGTTATCCTCTACCTAGAATCGATGTCACTATAGACACCCTGGCAAATTCAAATTGATTTTCTACGTTGGACCTTAAGGGTAGTTATTACAGAGCAAGTAGAAATCGATTCAAAGACAAAGAGGACACTATTTCCTCTACGCGACCAGATTTGTGGTACAGTGTCATGCCGTTTGTCCTCTACAATGCTCCAGCCGCTTTTGAGATCATCATGAAGACCGTATTACAAGGATTTACCTGGAAAACCTGTCTTGTATACCTCGATAACGTCATTATATTGGGTAAGACGTTTGAAGAACACGCGAAGAACATTGAGAACGTCTTAAAGACAATTAAAGAAGCTATTCTAAAATTGAATCCTGACAAGTGCTGCTCTTTTCAAAGACAAGTCGAATACTTGAGTCATGCTATATCAGTAGATGATGTTAAGACTAATCCGATGAGAACTGAAGCTGTACGAAAATAAACGTACATCAATTAATGGGCTTCCTAGGTCTGTGCTCGTTTTGCAGATGATTTTTTTTAGACCATTACACTGACTCACTGAAAATGACCAACTCTACGATTGGACTCCAAAGTATCAGCAGGCATTTGAAAAACTCAAAGAAGCTCTTTATTCACCACCGATATTAGCCTAACCATGACCTCGTGAGGAATTCATAGTTGATGCGGATGCTAGCAATACTGGAATCGGAGGTGTCTTATCGCAAATCCAGGATGGAGAGGAAAGAGTAATAACTTACTTCAACAAGGCATTATCAAACCAGAGAGGAACATATAACCACCAAGGACCAGGATAACAAGAAACCAGTAAGCAACCAGTGTGTTTCAAATACTCTACAAAATAAAAAAAGTACAATGTAGAGGATGTTGGTCGAAATAAAAAATCAAATAAACGATGGGTCTGCCGACAGGCATTTGAATGTTGGAATTGTGGCGAGAAAGGCCATATTAAATTGAGGTGTCTCAAAGACAAACGCAACCCCTGTTCAGAAAGTAGTAAAGGAAGATTAGGGAAACTAAAATCAGCCAGATTGAAGGGGCATGGGGGGGCCTATCCGGAATTGTTATATAGTATTAGATACTGATTCTTATCACATAATTGTGAAGCAGGATGTTCTTAACCACTGCAAAATCGGTCCAACAAAAAAGAAGTTGTACTGTAGAAGGTGAGACATTACCCGTCATTGAAGTACACTAAGCAGAATTACAATTAGCCAATATTGTTGATGGCGTGTTAATGGATTTAAGACAAATGGAAGAAGACATAAGTATCTACTGGACAGGATGAAGTAATAATGTCAATGTATCCCACATCTGACACCAATTTGTACCGAATTTCCTTTATTTAACATAATTTTTCAACAACGACTTTACAACTTTGACAACACTGACAATTCACAAGAACAAATAACACGTTAACCTTAAAAAAATACCCATACACTTTGGCGCGACCGTTTATATACAGGGTGTTTCTAAAATAGGATTCCAAACTTCTGCTGCGATTATAACTCATTAAAATAAGCCAAAAAGTTCCTATTAACATGTGCCCTAAAACGCACCCTTAGGAAGTTATATGCCCTTAAAAGGGCTCAAACAAAGCTGTTTTTTTTTCTGTTATTGACAAAACGGTCGCAAATAAATAGAAAAAAATCTATGGGTCTTACATACCTTTTTACGTTAAATAACATGGGCTACTCCGTTTTTAGACATGCAAATCATATGCGTCCCATTTAGGTTGGTGAAGGGGGTTTTCGGCCCGTAATTTTTTTTATTTCAATTTTTTTACAATTTTCTTTACAGATTTATAAAATCTTAACAATTTTACGTAAAAAATATTATCTTTGTCCAAATCGATATTTCCAATGGTTTTCGAGTAAATTGAGTTTGAAAATTACTCTGCACTTTAAGTTATTTGGCCAAAAATTATAAAAATCTGTTTACCATGGCAAATAAAAGACTGACGTTGCCACAACGCTTAACAATTTAAGTTATTGATAAACTGCCAATTGAGCTTTGCAGTGTTTAATTAGTAAAAGTGGTGCGTAAAAAATTACACAAACTCCAGGAATGGATTCTACACGTCAAAATAATAAGAAAAAACTCAAAAGTTATGTAATTTTTATTTATTTTTAAGTTATAACGTAAATACAAATTTTAAAAATTTAAAATTACGTTACGACTATGTCATGTTCCACGTTCAAACTAGGATATTTGTAAAGCTACATTTGAACGAGAGGTTTCCAGTTGACCTCCAAGATCTCCAGACCTCACAGCACTAGATTACTGTTTATGGGACTGGTTCAAAAATGAAGTGTACCTACAACGTTTATTCGCATAACAACATTTGAGTTTTTTCTTATTATTTTGACATGTAGATTCCATTTCTGGAGTTTAATTTTATTATTCCGACTCGCCCTGTAAATATTTTTTAGGCATATCAGTGTCAAGGAAGGTGCTTCTATCCCGTTGCAGAACATTTGAATCCCACCAAACATGCCATAGTTCAAGCCCTCCTCCACAGCGTAGCTCCGTCAAAGGTATCCAGGTCGTGCTGTGTTCCAACAATATTGGACTCAATATCGATTTTGTATGTAGATACAAATGGCGTTCTAACCTACCGGTACGCTTACAAGGATATGGTTGTTGTAGAATGTGGATGTCGATGAACATTTTTTCTATTATTGCAGGTTCAGTTTGTCCAGTGATGTATGAAAATGTACGATACGATTCTCACTGCTCCAAAAAATATGTGACTTTCAATTAATCGTAAAGTAAGCTACATCAACTAGAAAGCCAAAGAAATGTTTAAATCAATAGATCATTGATTAATTTATAACGATTTTATCTAAAGTTAGTATCATTTTTACGAAGTTAAATAAAATTGTTTCACTTTAAAAAACATATTGGATTGATGCATAAATTTGTAGCGTTTTTATTAAATTTAAAATTTATTGCTTTTTGACAAACAGAATACATGAACTAATTTAGGATATATTCACTTACATTTTTACGATTTCCCTCCAGTTTATTGTCCCTCGAAATATGGCCCTTTCGTTTATATACATCTGTATTAGTAACAAATAGGATCGGAATCATTATTAGTTTCTTTATTAGATGTCGAATTAATTATAAATCATTTAAATAATATCAAAAATCAATAAAAATAATTAAAAACATTATTCGGAAAAATTAATGAAACTAATTTCAGTTCGTACTTGTTATGAAAATTTAAAATACAGTTATAGCAGAGTTAGTTATTTATCCAAAGCAACTACAAATTTTATTCCTTTGTCTTTCCTTTTTTTTGTTCACTAATGCCTTATCGATTAGATCATCAGGGACGTCAGATAAATGATATTTTAAATATAAAAATAGCTCTAATTCTTAAAATGATTATACCAAGAAAGTAGAATGAATGAATTATTAACAGAGAACAAATAATCGAAGTATAATTGTAGCATAAGCGGTTGAATAAACCATTTCAATAAAACTCAAATTATCATTATCATTATAATACACCTACTAACACAGCTAAAATTTTCGCAACCATAAAAAGATATTTTCATTAACGTTCCTAGTTAGAAGTCCTAATTGACGTAATTATTTTAAAAAAATCCCGTGAAATGTTTTTTCTCTGTCGTCCACATTTGACTCTATATGTATAAACTTGAAATATTAATCAATGGTTTCCAAGATGTTTGTAAGTAAAAATTGGTTAGACTTATGTTTGATGGTTATTTAATAAAAAACTTTTTCGCGTAACACTTTCATCATCAAAGTTTTGATTAGTAGAAAATTTTACAGGTCTTTATGAATTTCTGTTTGCTACAAATAAAAAACGAAATGTATAAATAATAAATAAAAAACTAGAATAAATTTAATTTAGTTTCTCCAGGAACTCAGGTTACCTCTGCAGCTGCGGTTTCGTTATAGAAATATACCTAATGGAATTATACGAAGGTAAATTAAATAAACGGGATTTTATTAAAAAAAAACATTTATTTGAAAATAAAAGGTAAATATAATTTTTTTCTGCATAGCTTCGTGATTTAGAAATACATTTTTCCATCGTAGAACAAAGCTGGTTGCATCAGGGGTCAATTGCGCACAAATTCCTCTACACCCTCATCATCTTCAAATCGTTGCCCTCCTAGAGCTTCTTTAAGCGGCCCAAACAAATGAAAATCCCAACGATAGATTCAGGCTTTAGGGGGGATGATCAAGTTGAATCTAGTACATTTGAGACCGTTAGAGCTGTAGTATGGGCCCTGACGAGAGGATGGCCTCTGGAATCAGCTTGTCTCGCCTTTTGTAGCGATATGCAGTCTTCACATCGTTCAACAGCTCATAGTGGTAAGCAGTAATTATTGTGCAGAAAATGCAGAAAATCAATGAGCAAAATGCCTCGGCGCCCGGAAAAAAACTGTTGAAAGAACCTTGTCAGCTGACAGTCGACTCATGGCCTTCAGTGGAACTGCCTCCCCTTTCCTCCGCCACTCAATATTGGCCAAAGACGGATTAACCTATGGTGAGGCCCGGGGCTACAAGCTTTCGCAGGCCCTCTTTCTATAAAAAAAAGGTCACGCAATTGGCAACTTGTCGATATAAAGTTCAAACCCTGACCACTTTTTAGTTTGATTCTAAGAAAAAAAATAATAATTTTGCCACATCTTGTCGAGACCCCCCGATCTCGTGAAGACTGGCTAGTTGTGACTCAGGAGTGTAGTGGTGGATCTACTTTTCGTCTGACTCAAAAAACGTTTCAACTTCTGATCTGTGGTCAAAAAGCGAGGCACACACTTTGCGGAACTATAGGTCATTTGTGACGATCGCTTGATAGCTCCCATAACTTATTCCGACCTTTTCTGCAATTTCGGATACTCTCACCCGTCGATCGTCTTCAGGAATTTCTCTAACCGCGCGAATGTTTTCGTCTGTAATGCTGGTCCGAGGACGGCGATAGTATTCCTGATTTTCCACTCGTTCTCGTCCTTCCTTGAACTCTTTATGCCAAGCATACACAAGAGTCCTTGACAATGTTTGGTCCCCGAAGTGTGCAGTCAATCTTCGGAAAATTTCCGTAGCTTGAACTCCTTCACGAGCAAGAAATTTTACAATTATTCATTGGAAGTGTGGAATAGCCAGCTCTCCCCACTCTTAATGAACCCACCCGAGAATACTAGAAGCACGGACTCAGTCCTGCCAACCGTAAACGCTCAGGAACAAAAATCCCGTTTATATTAGATTTACCATCGTATTTCTGTTTTGGTAAACTATTTTAAGACTCAATATGACATTTCGTTTAAGCATAGTGCACTTAGAACTTCATAAATTAGCTCGCAAACAAATGTATTATTAGGAGGAATTTGGTAAGCAACTTTAATTGTATCTTAAGCATTTTATACAATAAAAATTGTAACAGTTTTATACCGTTTCTAGATTTAGAATACTATAGTAATCAGATTAACTGATTACCACCTAGCAAACACTAATTATTGGTAAATAAATGGTCATATATATAGGTACCATTTCACCTTAACGTAAACCATAAACGGACCACAAGCGAAATGTCCCATCAGCCAGCATCTTTTAATTTGCCATGATTTGTGCATAAATAGATAGATAGTACATTAATGGTTTGCCAGTTTGTGGGCAGCTAATTGCATTTTACTTTGCAGTTTCTGAGATGGTAATGTACCATTCTGCTAATATTGTGCATTTTGTATGAAGCCATTTATATAGGTACCAATGATGGCACATTTCTGATAATCTGATTCTTCTATTGTGGCGTTTGGTAGTTAGCTGAAAAAAATAAAAACATTTCTTCAAATTTTATATTAACACTTATCAAAAATTTCCTAGTGTTGAAGTTATAACATGCCAAAATTAACTATGTCATAGGATGCTAATTATAGCATTCCTATTAAGGAAGCAATTTGATAAACTGGAATAGGTTCATTAGTGGTTGAACAGTATTTGACTATTTCAATCATTAAATATTCAGGGCCATAGTAAGTTAGCCTGTACTATAAGAAAACCATAAATGATTAAAGAAGTATACCCATAATCTTTTACTTTAAAGCTCGCAATATAAATAATTGATAATAGTGGTAAGTAAGTCATGTTTTTAGCGAAATTTCTTTCACATACTAACACATCAACTTATGATTGCAGTATTTGTAATTTTTTACTAGGAACATTCAGTCACTCATCAATAAATATTGGCAATATCGTAAAAGAAAATATAAGAATAAAAATTTCTTTGCCATTCTATGGCTTGGTAGGTACCTACTTGATAGGTTTACATAAGTTTTATAACATTAATCTTTTAATCAATACCTCTATACTTTACAACACATGCGTTATATTGCTTTAATTGTACCTGCTGATAATTTTTATGTTATACAAATGACACATTGAAAGTTAAATTGTGCTGACTAGGTATTTTCTTCAGCAAATATTAACCGATGTGGTAGAAGCATCTGAAAATTTTGAACTATTTCTTCTTCAATTCGGGATAATTAATTTCAAAATATTTATGACTTTGAAAAAAATTTTGGAAGCAATTTAAACACCATAAGTGACATACAACATATATTTTATTTTCTTTAAATTAAAATTAAACACGAAACGTCTCAAAAAATGTAATAAAATAAAATAAGTATCCTTGAAACTTTACCAGGTGGTAGAACAAATGATCTTAAGAACAGTTTTAGCAATGATATAAAAGTCAACTGATAAGACATCGTACCTATCGTTAACAACAAAGTGATTTTGGAATACCTATGTAAGAAGTTTTTTTATGAATTAGATGATATATATATTGTTATGATATAACGAGAACCAAGTACTTAAGTACATGAAAATTATAAATTTAAAATGTTGAGAGGTAAAACTCTAACAACAGGGATGATGAAAGGAGAAATATAATTTAGTACGTAGTATGAGTTTTATAGACAAAAATGCAAAGATCGCTACCTGAGAATATCTATATGTCAAAATATAAGTTAAGATAGAAAATTTTCAATTAAAAACACTTAACAAAGGCTCGAAAATATACTAGAAAATTAAAATGTAGTACCCAATATAATTCTATAAAGATTTTAACCAGACAGAAGTACCGGTTTAGGGAAATTCAAATAAATAATATTTTGACAGCTGGACTTCTCGGAGAACAAATTAACGTTACACTTATAAATAGAAATATTGTATTCAAATAAGACTATAAGCAAAGTTTAGCATACCTTTCATTGATATTTATGAGTGGAATCAAAATTAAAGTTCTATATATGATTCTGATAGCGATTCTCGAANAATTAATTAAAGTCTACTACTAAGCAATTTAAACAAATAGTGCACCTTAATACAAATCACAAAAAAATTAGACTATTTAATTTTAAAAATATTTTTGACATGTTCTTTAAGGAACAGAAAAACAATTTTTAAACAAAATCTACTTCAATTTTGACACTATACGTTCTCAATTTTTTTTTTAATCACAGTACATATGAACCGTTTTGGAATAGTATTAAAGTTGTTTGTTTTACATAAATCATTTTCAAATTGTTAAAATGACACATGTCCAAAAACTTGTGCTATATACAGGGTGACTTTAAATACAGAAACTGCAGGATTAGATTAGTTTCTTTTTTCCTGGAGGACGTAG